TTATGAATTGAATTCACGAAAATAGAAACATTACAAAGCTTGTTATGCTTGTGAATCTTATAATTTCATTGGTTTCATTTAAATTTGAATACGTAAAATCACTCTTGACCAGTGTTATGTACTTGTACGTAAGTTGCACATTGGTTTCACATTGGTATCATGCATGATGTATATAGATAAATACTAGAATTACAATGAAAGATTAGTATATATTATTTATCAAAGATAACAGATGCATGTTTGGCTTATTTATCGATAGTTATTTGTGTCGTCGGTACCGTAGGCATACACCGAAGGACGCCCAATGTAATAAATATAATCCGTTTTAACACTTAAAAAGTAGTGCATTATGCATTCATGCATGTTGTACTTGCAAAAACTATTATCACAAGCAATGCAAGCCAATTGCTATAGGCAGGTTGTTAAAAAAGAAAAATTCAAAATCATAATTCACGCCCAAATATAGGCGTTAATTACGTCTTCACGCATAGTAAAGAATTTTTTAGATACAGACAATTCAGGAGAATCAAAGAATAACCAACTTTTATAACCATAGTTTATAGCCATTTACTACATATACAATTAATAATCATAGACACACTTAATAATCGTAACCCATGTAAGAGTAAGATTCGCACGCGTACACGTCGATTCTTAGTTCTGCGCGATAAATTTCATACTTCCCAAGGTTACAATGTGCACGTGCACATTCTGATTTCATATTATCATTGTTATCATCAATTTTTTGATCAATTATTCTTACACTAAAAAAAAAAATTCACATATATATAAAAAAGATAAATAGTAATACCATAAATGTGCGTATACAAGATCTAAAAATAGTAGGCCCACCATGAATTAGGCCAGGCTGTGAACCACGGGATCTCTATTAATTAAATGCAAATAACTAAACTACCTATTATATGTACATTTCAAAATTTTTCCTTTTAAGAAAAAACCTCTCAGAGTGTACTAGACCCGGGGTCTACTAAAGGGTTTAAAAATTGGTGGAATAAAATAGGCCCGGGTCTTGTATGCGCACATTTTACGGCACTGGCTAAAAAAAAAAGCAAATTCTGTTTTCGGTTTCGGTTTTTCTAACGTTTTAGAGCCACATTACTTATTTAGTACACTTTATCATATGAGGACAAAAAAAAAAAAATTCTACGATAGTACGAATGTTTAAATAAAGTATCTGTCAGATACTTGATCAATTATCGATATACATCCGTACTACCGTATCGATATATATATAATTTTTTTTTTTTTTTTTTTTTACTCACGCAACGATAGTCAAACAAATATTCTATAATTCTGGTCAAAACTTGCAGATCATTCGACCAGACTAAATCACATGATCCAAGGACTTTACTAAATTTTGACCAGGTTTATATATATATAAAAAAAGATTGATTTTTATGATTTATCAGATACGCAGATCTACTTTGATTTACAATTAAAGTTTAAGAAAGTCCTCAAGGGTAATCATAAGAAGTAGATTTGATAATCAACTCATTCCAAAATGAGAAAACCTATGCACTTGTTATTTGAGCAAAGTAACATCAATGTTAGATAGATACTATATAAACTTTTTATGAATGCGGCGGAAATTCAATTTTCTCTTTAAGGGAATGTTTATGCATATTACTTAGATTTGCAATAACGTCAAAAAAAGCGTAATTTTAGAATTGATTTGCGGAATAATGCCAAAATACGAAAAGTAAAAGCAAGAATTGTACATATTATAAACCATTCAGAATTGGCATAGTGGATTTTATGACTTTAACTTTCTAAACACTGAAAATTACATAATTGTGTTTTGCAAATGAAGGCGCCGCACAAGTGTATGTTAATGTCATTTGTCATTATCTTTATGTTTCAGGTAATTGAGTGCACATGATCTTTTGCATCTAATAAGCTATAAGCTATAAAAGCGATAACTTTTTTTTTTTTAATAAAATTACAAATATTAAAAAAAAAAAAAAAAAAAAAAAAAAAAAAAAATAAAAAAAAAAAAAATTTTATAACAAACATTTAAAAAAACATTTAAAAAAATTTATTAAAAAGATAATTTTTTTAAAATAAAGTTTTAAAACCAGTTATTTCGCCGATAGTTTAAATATGAACAATAAACTCTTTTGAATAGTAACTTACCTTAATATGGAATTTTATGACACACTTTTACCTTCATACACGATCACCCTAGCATCATTACCGGGACCCAAGGAAGTTGAATCACATCATATTAATCATTATCTTGCACCTTTGGTTGATCAATTGTGGAATGAGATAGAAATTCGCATAAATGAATCTCGCATAAATGAATCTCCCATAAATGAATCTCCCATGGGGAAAAAAATAAATGCAAAAAAATTTTTTTATATTCGATCGTTTTGGTCCGAAAATGACCAAGAAATGCCAAGAAGTGGTCAAGTAAGAAAATTTGATCAAAAATGATCAAAATATTTATTTTTATTATTTAAAAAATGCATTATTTTTTTTAATGCTTATAATTCAGAGTACACACACACTTTGTGTGTGTGTGTTAATTAGACATAACGTCTTAAATTTTTATTTTATTTCTCACTACTCACATTTTACTCATGTCAGTTGAGATGAATAGTTCGGAAAGATCATGTATTTTATTTGTTTACACTTTAAAATTGCGTATATTTCTTTTTAAGCTTGTATTAGAATTACACAAAATTGTCAATAATAACGATAAAAAAATGAAGTACAGTATTCATAAGATGTAAATATATATATAACAAAAAACTTTAATAAAAGATTCTTTTAATCTTGATATCTTGAATATAAGCTTGATTATTTTAGTTTTGAGAGATGTATTACTACATATCGATATAAGTCACTGTTGTCACGTGGTTATTTTGTTTATTAATATATTTAACCTTATATAGGTTAATTAATAAGGCAGTGTTGAAGTTCAAGATAATGTAATGTGGGCGGCTGTGAATGCCGCTATCATCAGTAAACACGATGTAATAAGAATGAGTATTCTCTAATATATATTTATACACAGAATGATAATCAATCTCTAAATTAAATCTCAATTCCCGATATGTCATTTAATCGACAATCAATTTCCCAGGTCTGTTAGACGGTTTGTTAATTGGTAATTATTACATCCTTTTATTATATTATTTATTACACTATGTGATAAATGATATAATAAAAGAATGTAACAAATTATCAATGAACAAACCGATCCCGATTATTCATCCAAAATTTGGTTTCATTATGATCGATAAAAAGCTACATTCATGTACGCACATACGTATTTTAATGTTGTACGTCAAATTAAAACTTGCGTCAATTTTAAAATTTGAATATATATATACTGAGTTTCATTAGGGTTAGGGTTAGGGTGAAAGCCTAATCGTGGCATTATCGTTATAAACGTACAACATTTATTCACTTATTTGTTTATTGTTTGTTTATTGCAGTCATATGTACGCCTTGAGTTATTTGTCGCGTAAGGAGTGAAGGCGTAAGAGGGATAGATGAAATCTAGTTCGTATGCCTGTCGCGAAAGTATACTAGCCGGCAAACCCCGGACAAATCCCAAAGAAAAAGATTACCATTTAATAAAAAATTGATCAAAAAAATCCCCTTAATATTAAAATGATTGAAATATTAGTTTGGTCAGGTTTGAGATTTGAGCATGGTACGAATCCGCACGATAGTAGTTCAGAATTTGGGTAGCAAGGTTAATTACACAACTAACATAAACTTGTAAACTTTTTTCCTATAAATAAAATAAAAGTCCTTTCATGCTCCATAAAGGAAGGTAAGTTTTTATTCCTTTTATCCTAAAATATTAAATTCGTGACGCAACTATCTACTTAAGGACTTGTGCATTTAAGATAAACTAATCCAGCTATCTCTAACACCTAAATATTGCTAATCTGTAATGATGTCATATCACATAACGATGACTAAATTTAATAAATAAAAACTGTTTAATTCTATATGTTTGCCATTGAGATTAGCAGTTATATATCATTATATCACTAGTGCAGAAATTTGGCATGTCTAGCATAAATATATTTATATTAGATAAACGCAATTAATATATGTTATTTAAAGCGGCCAGAAATTTTATAATATAAATATACTGTATTATTTTCACAGGAGTTTCTAAATTTCGTTTACCGAAAAAAAAAAACAGATTACGACATGCCGAAATTTTGTGCCTTTGTGGAATTCTTTCTCTAACTGCTAATATTACACCGAATATTCTTAGTTTCCTAATGCATCTTATTGGTTAACACCCTTTCATGTTGGACAAGTGAAAACGTCAAATATGTCATCAATGTCATCAATGTTAATATAATGCGTGTAATACCGAAGTATAATCAGAAGAAACGCAATCTTGATGCACAGGTTTAGCACCAATAGTAATAGTTTTTATATATCTTGCTCATGTGATAATGTCACAATGGATGATGCAGGGAGTTTTATTATTACGACTTTTTTGGTAGTTTTAAGAGAAAAGGGGAATTGGCATGGCATGAATATTCTCACTATTCGGATTGGTTTTTACAGTGGCATGCTAGTGCATGCCAAACGTTTAAGTCAGAGCCAGTGGATTTTAGTAGCATCTAAAATAGCGCTATTTTTTAGCAAAATAGCTAGCAACATTGTTTGTGCTAAGATGCGAAATTTGCTAAGCATGCGACTATTCCTTTTGTTCTTAAACTGATTTATATAAACGTGCAATTATATGCATGTTGTAAATGATGATAGATTAAGAACTCATCGAAGAACATACGACTACATTAAAATTTATAATTGACAAATATAAATTTTGTAATAAGCTATTTTGCTAAATTTACTAGCTAATTTTGCTAGCTAGTTTTGCTTCTAACGACCACTGGCTCTGGTTTAAGTATATTAACATGCCATTATTAATATATATCAAATAAAAATTGTACATATTTTTATTGTTTATAAATAATTTTGATTGGTTAATCCAAAAATATTTGAGTTTAAAAAATTTTTTTTTAAACTTATTTTATTAATTTAATAAAAATGATTCACGTTTTTCTAATTTAAATAATAATAAAATCATTAAGATGTATATATTTAGTATGTCTACGTAGACTTTCAAAGATAGGCGCGTACGTATGTATGTACGTACGTACGTACGTACATTATACGTACTGTAATTGCATCAAATATACTATTATTAGAACTTAAAAAAATCTTTTTTTTTTTTTTTTTGCTTAGCAAATTAGCTTTCTTCACTTCAATGCGCTTCAATGTTAAGTGTCTTTCTTCAGTATTCAATTCCTTACCATTAGCTATAATTCTAAAGTAATTAAATTCTCCATTGAACTTATTATTCAATATATATTGTATATATAGTTAGTTTAGATGGTGGCCCAGCTCAACGGCCAGGTCGACGGGCGGATCGACCCTCAACCTGCCGAGTTGATCGGTTAAGTGTTAGGATCGATTATCTTCTAAGCATATTTCAGGCTAAGATATTAAGGGGTTTCAGAATTAAAAAAAAAATACGTATTTAGGAAATAAATGAGAATTTAAAAAATCTTATTTGTGTATCAAAGTTTTGAAATAAATAGGAGTGTTTAAAGATTCCCATTTGACGAAATAAGTAAAATTTCTTGATTAAGACGACCCTTTCCATTTGGCACATAGGGTGTGACTAATCATTCTATGTGACTAATTAATCGTAAATATTTATTCGTCACTTGAGTGATTTGTCACACAATGGGTGGGATCACCTATAATTGACTAAATTCAAATTTCTTCAGTCATTAATTCAAATATATCGAAAACGAAATAAAATTGATGCGTTATCCATTTTAATCAAAATTAGATTTTCGCTTTTTAATTCTGAAACCCCTTATTTACTAAAATCGACTAGTTGTTTAACAATGTAGACATACTGATTTTGATGATAAATCGGTAAATAAAACAAGTATAAAATATGATAAGAAACGGAAATATTGTATTCGGTTTTAGACAATTAGTCACTAACATGCCAAGACAAAAAGGATAAAAAACTAAATAATTTAGTATCACTAGAATTTGGCAAAGAACTACCTGATGGCTTTTAATGTAGATATAAATATTAATTCTGATTACGTACGTACGTACCAGCAAAGAGATCGGCCCGGTAAAGCCACAAGCTGATCGGTTTAGCCGAGCTAATTTTCGGCTCGGTTAAAAAGCGGCTCAGCTAAAAAGCAGCTCAGCTCCATTATGATTGAGCTAGCCGAGCCGGAGCTAGCCGTTTGCATCGCTATGTATTACTTAAACTAATGGATAATATAAATGCATTTCTCTAACATTTATAAAAATTATTATTTTTCATTCGTGTTTATTTTATTTTTTTTGAACGCATCAATGGGAGGTTTCAGAATTAATGATTCGACGTCCGATTTCAGATAAAATAAGTGACGTATTTATTTCAAAAGAAGCGACGTACAAACTCTATTTTTTTTAAAGTAAGTACTTATTTACATAATCGCTTACCGATGAATGTTTATCAAAAAAAGCTAATTTTATCACCGGTTACGCCTATTTAATTTTCTGATTCGGAATTCTAAAGATCTTTTTTAAACTCACTTATTTTGAAAAAAAGTTAATTCTGAAACCCCAATACTGCAATAGCTTTATTGTGCGACAATATTGATGATTTTAACTAGTTTGTTCGACTCTCATACAAGGCAACACAATATATTTCCAATAGTATCATGATTTAATACTATATACGTAGAAATTAAATAATACACACCATAATATCATGATTTAATACTAGAAATTAAATAATATACACCTAATTTTTTTTTTTTTTTTTGATCATTAAAAGCGAGAAACAATATATAACTAAAGTCATCATTTCGCTGTCTTATTAAAAAAAATATATTACATAAGTGCTTCATACTAGCTTATTTTTAAATAGAACACATTGAACCACAGCTTTTTATGGATACTTTTAAAAAATATTGTAGATGGCGTTTAGTCGTTCTTTGATAAGTGAACTATTAATGACAGATATGGATGAAGATACCGTAGTTTAGTATCAAATTTTTTATCCTAATCATTAATAGAGAAAGCCTTGTTATTATTTTTTTTTTTTGGAGATATTTAGCTACTAAAAATAATCTACACTGTTTCCCGTGTTGGGTAAAAGTTCTAGAAAAAAGTATTATCACACCTCTTATTTTTTTGTAATAAATAAAATTTTTTTTGCTTAAATTTTAACCAGCGATGTTACATATCAGTTGTTACTATATGGTAGTGTGTGGTACCAAACCAACTCGAATTGTACATCTCTTAATTTCTTAATGCAACCCAAGTAATTTACACATACCACCTTTTTATTTATTTTATGACAATTTTATGAAAGTAAAGAACAAAAAATATTGGCATTGTTTTAAGCCAAAATTTTTTGATTCCGAGTCAATATGTTATAGAAAAAATTGAACCGCAAAGTTACTTTTTTGGCAGTGTAACAATTATGGGATTTGCTTGCAAAAAAAACTATTGATATTCAACAAAATGGAATGAAAAACATGAAATATCTATCCAACCCTTTTTTTATTATTCAAGAGATGGGCAAATTAAAAAAAATTCTATTATAAAAAATTTGATCGCAAATAATATTTATTACCTATATCAATCCGAGTTGTCTGATTAGATGTCCTATTACCTGATTAATAATGATTTCACCCAGGTAATCTTTACCTGGGTTACGTACAGTACGTACGTACGAGAACTCATACAGCGACCTCCCCAAAAATTTCCGCACTCCGCTGTATTCCGATTAATACTATTACATTTATCGAAAGAATTTTTATAATTCGATGCTTTGTATATTAGAATAATAAAATTTTTCTTTTTCACCATCATGTTACTTAGATAAGAAAAAGAAAATTTTATTATTTACTTAGTTACAAATCATTATCGAAATTATCATATAATAACATTAATCGGAGTACAGGACACAAATTCATTTGTTGCTTGTTTGTAGAATTGACGTAATAGACAGTTTTTGTGTACATTATATATTTATTGAATTATTTCTCTTATGAATAAAATAATTTGAATAAAGCTAAAAAAAAATTGAATATATATGTTGTAAGTGAAATGGAGTCATATTAGGTTTGGAATCCACCTAGATTAGAACGGAATAATTATACTAAAAATCCCAACCCTAACCTTAAAAATTTCGAATCAACTTAAATTCTACTTACGACATGTATACAAATATAAAAAAATGTTTCAAGCTACAAAATTTTAACTCCGAAATATTATAAACTTGGTTACATACGAAAGATTTTTATGACTTTATTCAAAAGCGGGTCTACCACGAAATCCCAAAGTCATTTTCCCGAAAGAACATAATACCGACTAAATTTGGCCAGTATAGAGTTAATACCTCTATCCGGATATATATATCCGGATTGAGGTATTAACTCTAGGCCAGCATTATAACTAATGCCGGCTAATTTTATCGGTATTACTTAATTGGAGTAAAATTCAAGATTGTGTAATGTAGCATGATCAGGAAAATTAAATATGATATAATGTGATTACTAAGATTTGAAAGTGATTATTTGCCAGTGATTGTAAAATTACTTATAATTACTTATCGTTATGAGTTACTTATCAGTAGGGTTGGAAAATTATCGTAACTTTGTATAATTTTGCGTAATCTTGTATTAAGTTTACGGAAATCAAATTTCATATAACTTTGAAGTTATTAATGTTAGCCAAATTTTATCTCTGGTAGGTATTGTAAACTTTAAATTAAAATATCTCAACAACTATTAAACCAAACTTAATAAATTTTTTTTTTTTTAGTTCTATAACTAAATAGCATTAAAATAAAAAAATTTTTATCAAGTTTAGTTTAATAATTGTTTAGATATTTTAATTTAAAGTCTAAAAAAAAAATTTACTTAAAAACAATTTGCCTGGCTTCTACTAACACCCCCCATATCTCAAGTTCTAATATTTTATTATATATACATAATTTAAATTAAAAGTTTTATAAGTAAAATTGACATCTTATATACATAACATACAAGTTGTATATATGTGTAATTTAATTTAAAGTTTATTTTATTATTATATTGCTTGTTATCATTGTATAAAAGTATGCAGTTTGAATAAATATTTAGTCTTATAATAAAATTCAAAATAGTTCAAACTAAAAATATTAATATGTGGCACAAATTTCAAATGTGAATTGATAAGAAGGGTAAAGAATATTATAAATATAAAGCATGCAAGAATAAATGAGCAAAAAATGCAACTCAACTGAAAGAACATTTAAACTCATATATTGTACATAATGCAAGTAAAGATTCTAATTCTAACAAAAGACAAAAACTATTAGATTCAGCTAAATTTATTCAACAAGATCAAATTAAATTAAGAACTTTATTTAATATTGTAAAAAATTTGGATTTTTAAGCTTTTCTTAAAAAAGCTTGTCTTTTTTTTTAAAATGCTATCATATTATATACTTTCTGATTCACTTCTTAATAAAAAGTATATAAATTTACAAGTGGCTATTCAAATGTTTTTAATAAAACTCTTTATTATTGTTTGGTTAGTAATAGTAGGTTAAATATTAATAGATCCTCAGTAATTAATTATATAATAACTATGTTTGTGCTAGTTTTTTATAAATTAATTCATATTAAAGAAAATCATTATATAGTAAAAAATATTGCTAAGAAAATAGAAGATATAATATATAAAATTGGAATTAATAAATTTGTTAATATAATTACTAATAATGCAAACAATATGAAAACTGCATAAAGAATTTTAAAAGAAATGAATATATAGCATTAATCTTTGGATTAAAGATATTCTTAAAAATAAATAAACATCCAAAATTATTAAAAAATTAAAGATTTAGCTTATTTTTTTACAATCATCAAATTCATATAGCAGTTTTTTGTTATTTACAAAAAGAAATATATAATGTTGAAATTGCCTTTTTATTAACTATTGATACTAGATATAGTAAATATTAGCTTTTAAATACCTTAATCATGTTTTACAAACTCAAACTACAATATATTCTATATTAATTAAAAATATTAAAATAGCTAAAAATATTAAAACAACAATTGCTAATTATTTGTTACTATTATTTATTACTTTTATATATTAGTTAAAAAGTAATAAACTATATCTTTTTTTAATATATTAAATATTAAAAAAAATTATAAATAAGGCTATACAAATTTAATTACTTGGTTTTCATAACATGAAATTTTTAAATAAACCTGGCCAGCTAGCTTTTTTTTTAAATTTCATATATAAAATTTTATAAAATTTATAAAATTTTTTTTTTAAAACCCACCTAGTTATTAAAATATATAAAAAGTTTTTTTTTTGAAATTTTCAAAATTTGACCTGGCCGGGTTATGAAAACTAATTAATTAATTTTGCATGGCCTAATTTAAAAATTTCAATAAAATTATATAATAATATTTTACAAGTAGCTAGAAATCAATATGTTAATTTTTTATATAATCTAGCAAATATAATTATATATATACTTGATTCAAGATATCAAGATGAAAATTTTGAATTGCAGATATTAATAATGAAAGTTAAATATTAGACAAATTAAAAAAATATAGAAGGTTTTGCAAAACAATATTTATAGTAAAATCTTATTTCAAAACTACTTAATTAGTAGAATTTATTAAGTATACAATACTTAATTTTAAGTCAAGTTACAAAAAAAGTTTTATTAATTCTATTAACTTTAGCAACAAGTAAGTGTAATTGGTCTACTTATAGATTTATATAATTAAAACTATATCATATTAGCAGATTTACAGAATTAGTTCTGAATTGATTCTAAATTGTATTTTCAAAGTTATTTGCAAAATTTTATAATAAACAAATATATGTATACATAATTTGAGAAGTAAAATAGATACAATAATACTGTTATTAGTTCATTTTGTAAAGATACAATTTAAGGTCAATTCAGGACCAATTCTGCAAATTAAAACATACAAATTTTTTGCCAATTAGAAAGATTTATATTAAGTAAAGATTTGCAAATAAATGGTGATATAGTAGAAGCTAACCAAATTAATAGCCAAAAGTAAAAAATTCCAATAAAAAAAAATTTGACAAAGATAATCTTACTGTTTTTTTTAATAAACTATTTAAAATATTTGATAATAGTAAGTATAAATTTAATAGTAATAAAGAGTAAAAATACTATAATTTTTCTGTACTTTTAAGAATAATAAGTATAAATTTGATAAATAAAAACATTATAATTTTTATTTTGCTTTTGTATAAAAATAAATATAGTTAAGAATAGTAAATATGAATATAAATACTATAATGTTTTTATCTGCTTTTTTAAAAAATAAATGTAATTAAAATAAATAGTTACTAGAAATAATTCATAATACTAGTGAACATTAATATTATAATTATATAAAAATATAATATTTAATATAAAAAATCATAGTGAATATTAGACTATAATAAATATTTTAGCCAAATTTATAATTTTTTTAAGTTAGCTAGCTAGAATTAACTTTAGAGTTAGAGCTAGAATTTTATTTTATATAAAATTCTCTAAATTCAATTTATATATAATATATATAATGATTTGATATTTACTATAATCACTAATATTTAATATAAACTTATATTACAATTTTGTAATTTATAATAAAATATAATAATATAATTTTTTGCAATACAACTCTACTTATCACCTAATCTCTACAGACAAGGTTGATAGTTCAATTATAGCTAGTAGTAATTAATTGAATTAATTATCTTTATAACCTTCAGGACTTTTGAATACAAAACCCTGTAGCAGTAAAACCATGTAAAGTATATATTTGGGCTAATAAAAAATTCTTGAAAGAAGTCCTAAGCTATAGAGAAGATGAGACACTGTATATGATATAGATTACAAAAGTGTAATATTGCAGAAGGCTGTATATATAAATCTGTATTTGGCAAGGCAATACCAACAACTCTAAGATGGTATTGGGATCTTGATTGAGAGAATAATTGCATATAGTATATCTGGAAGTGGAAAGAGAAATACAAATATAGTAAAAGGCTGTGATAAGAGGATAACTTTACCAAATAAAGAAACACCTCTGGTATATAGAAATAAGAAAAACTAGTTAAGAAAGTCAAGAACATATAGCAAGCATTTTGGTAGTACAAAAAGAAATTCAACTAGTAGGTAATAGTTATACAACTAGCAGGGGTCATATGATAAAGCATAACAGAAGTACTAGGTCCTAAAATACTAAATTAGGCAGTATTTAAAAGAGGTTTTTAACTTTTATTTTAAGGTTCTAGGCTTCTATATCACTATAAGTAATGATAGTACTATAAACAAGATAGTAGTAGCCCAAAATAGTGGTGTAAACCATAAATACCTAGAAGTACGTTTAGAGAACTGCAACACTATGAGAGAAGGAATCCAGAATATCAAAGACATATCTAAAAATTGTTTTCTGGAAATACCAAACTGGGAGCATTAATGACACCTACCTCTATAACACCAATTTGAAAATAATACAAGAAGTGGTTTGGGAGTAATACTATATATAAGAAAGACTAAGATAATTAGTAGGATTTGTATAGTAGTATGTATGCAGAATATATATGAATAAAAAAATATAGGTAGTGGAACCTGGCCAGTGAATTGAGAATTTGTAGTTGAACAATCTGGCTATAAAGACTCAAGGAGGCTAAATACACAAGATTAGTTACATATAGGTGCTATATAGTAACTGAGTAAGTCACACTTTATTAATAAGATAGTTAGAATTACAAATAGAACAAAAACATGTAAAATATATATAACCTATTTATAATAATAAAGTAGTAGTATGGCCATCTTTAAAAAATAATAATAATAAAATACAACTCTACTTATTAGCTACTTATCAACTCTGTTTATAAGTAATATAACTAAAAAACAATCTATATATAGATGAAATTTGTAATATTAGCAATTTAAATTTTTTTTTTTAAAATTCTCTGAACTCCTAAAGCAGTCGGAATGCTGGTGGCGTCTTTATTAAGGTCTTATACATATTACAGTGAATTTAAGTTACATATTAAGTACTATATCATTACCACCAACAGTAGTGTTTCCCAGCCCTTAATACCACGTGTTTGGTAAGTCTATCTTAGTAGCCCGGGTTCCTGATTCCATGGTGTAGGGCCCCTGTTCTGAGGCCTGCAGTTCAACACGGCCTTATCATTCATCTTTCCTATTTTGTGATTTTCACACTTTTTCTAATTCCATACTTGAACTTACAGATCCTACATTTATCTCTTTCCTGCAAACATTTTCCTTTTTCATCTCTGTGTTTTCCAGTTTTGGCTTGTCCAACCTACTTTCACAGCCAGTTTTGGGGTCCAGATCTACTCCCGTATACTTTTCGTATTCACCAGTACTTCATCTTATGGTTGCACTACTTGAGCCTACTCAGGGTCCGTTCGGTCAGAAGGGGCCTTCTGCAAGAACAAGCAGGTTCTTTCTTTTATTAGCTTAGTGCTACATGTCTTGATTTCTATTCGGTTTTTAAGCCGTAGTCCTAATTTGGGGGTTCCTCATATTAACGACTTTCTTTTTGTCAAATTTCTTTCCTTTTCTGGATGCTGCATGACTCTATGTGGCAATGTTTGCAGCTCATGACCTAAACGTGGTTCTGGCTGAAAAAGATTCTTCTTGTGAGTTTCAAATTCACAACCTTGCATTTTGAGACCTAGGAGCGCTAATCACTGCACTACTGACCCGCAGGTCTGCAATTCAAATTTTAATAATTATATTATATTAAAAATTTTGATTTATATAATCATTTACAACTCAAAATTTAATATATAAAACTGCCTTCTGTATATTACTATATGGAGGTGAGTCAATAAAAATCAAGCAAATTTTTTATAATAAAATTTTTTTATAACTTTAAACAAGGATAACTTAACAAAAACTTGATGAAAATTTTTTTAAAATAATTTTTATAACCTGTAAAATTAATTTAAAAAAATTTTTATTGAATTTAATCAAGTTTTTGTTTAAAATTTTAAAAAAACTTAATAAAAAATATTTGCTTGGTTTCTATTAACTCAACCTTATATATTTCTAAAAATAAGCTATCTTTTTGGGCAAAAAATTATACAAAAATTTCTAAAATAGCTTATTTTAAATTATATAAATTTTTAGTTATTTTTTATTAAGTAAAAGTAGTTTCTATATATAAAAGTCAAAATTGTATTAAGTAAATCTATACTAGTTATTTAATAAAAGATATTCAGAATATAAAAATACATATATTTTAAAAGCTTTATACAATTTAGATAACTTTTTATTAGTCTGATTTTGTATTTTAAAGTTGAACCTAAAATGCAAAAATATTTTAATAAAAAGTTATTCAAATTGTATCCCT